GCCTGGCAAGGAAGCAACCGCCCGCCTGCCGTCGGGGTTTCGNGAAAGCAGAGCCACTGAGCCTGGCAAGGAAGCAACCGCCTGCCTGCCGTCGGGGTTTCGGAAGAAGGCTAATGACCGATGCCAGTGAGTGGGGTAAAGTCATCAGCACACTTCTGCTGTGTGAGGCAGTGGTTTAGAAATAGGTCTGAAGAACCTACATATCCTACCTGGGAGAAGTAATAATAACAACAGTCTCCAAACTGAGACATCTCACAACTCCATCGACACCCAGTCCTACTTCCAAAAACACCAGTGCTTCATAAATACAGAACTGGGAGGAATTAATCAAGCTGGAGCCAGGCTTTCAGGGGATACGTCTCTAAAACAGCCATATGAAGATAAACATTTGGGATGGCTTTCCTTTTTATAGTATTTGTACCAATTATATTTATAATCCCAGAGGAGCACTGACTTTATGCACAAAGTTTGTTACTGTATCGCTTCTAACAGAAACAATGAAAGCCATCGATCTAGCAACCAGGAAACGACTGTGGCGAACATTCCCTCCGCGGGGAATTTGGCATGCGGGCATCCAAGTCAGGATTAAAAGGACAATGTAACGCCAGAGGAAAATGTATCACTATAGTAAGTTAAAAAGCCCCACCAGCATTCACAATTGAAGTACAGTAGGATTCTCAGTTATGGGGCATGGGGGAGAAATCTCAGTGAAAAGCGTCTGGGGATGGTAGCGCTTTCTCTTTCTTTCCTTTGAGCCCTGTATTTCCCCCTGTTCACAGTCACTTCATCCGCTCAGCTCAGCAAGTTCTGTTATGTGCCGGGCGCTGCGCCGGCAGCGGAGTAAAGCAGGTCCCGTCCCCACGGAACTTGCCTCTTCGTTGGAGAAGGCGTAAAATCAACAGGGTAACTCCACTAACGGGCACAGCGGATGATCAGCGCTCGGCGAAAATGTAGCAGAGAATGAAACCGGTGCAGCGCCGACCTGACGGCCGGGAGGGCGAGGCGCTCGCTCCCG